CTAATGCAGTGATAAGTGCCCGATATGATTGCACACGTCGTGAAGGATGTACGTCATATAACTTCATCGGAACTAAATAAGATGACTCCCGAGGATGAGGATGAGGGTTGTGTGGCGTATGAAATACACTCCATGTCCCATGATCTCGTCGTCGGAATAGTACGGTTGTATTCATATGAGATTAAGACAAACACTTGATCTATGATCATTTTGAAGATACAGAAGTGAGGGATCTCGGGGACAGTATACAGCGTTCTCCATTTCAATCGTGTTTCAAGTTCATGTGAAAGCACATAAGATGAATCTTATTATTATTATTATTATTATTATTATTATTATTATTATTATTATTATTATTATTATTATTATTATTATTATTATTATTATTATTATTATTATTATTATTATTATTATTATTATTATTATTATTATTATTATTATTATTATTATTATTATTTCAACAATTAAAGTTCAACATAACATAACATACATTACATAATATAACATACATTACATAACATAACATAACATAACAAACACAACATAACAAACCCAACATAACATAACATAACACATAAAATATAATAACTAGTGTGATTCTTGTGTTGCCCGAGATTTTCTTCTAGCACGCGCTTGTGGTCGGTCCATTTCGTTACGAATACGAGTACTTTCTAGCGTACCCCGTCGTGTAGCTTTCCGGGTAACATCGTGAAATAGCTCAAAATATGCATCCTCCCAGCACATTTCAGGCAGCAAATTAAAGGGTGAAACACGCCACTATATGTGTTCTTATGGTTTCTAACACTGTAGTACTCGGCAACCAAAGTTTCGGCACCCAAACGGAAATCCCGACACACATGTTGCACATGAGAGCAATGAATCCCAAACAAGGTCCACTTATTACATGAGCATTATTTGGCCCTAAGATCGACACAATGTGTTTTTCCTCCACCTCCTTGAGGTACTTTTGCCCTGGTGAATACCTCACCAGCGTAGTTGCGAGTGTTGACCCTTCTCATGTAATGGGTCGTCGAATGTTCCTCCCCAAATTTGAACTT